CTTCGTTCTTGACTTCGTTCCAGACCAAGGCACCGCCGACAGCGACGCCATCGTCAACTTCACCTCTTGGACACATCCACCAGATCTCGACCCCGACTTCAGTCCTGAAGGATTTTGGTACTCACACACCATACCTGAAGCAGAAAGAACAAGAGCGTTAGCAACAATTCGGCAAGCAGAGACAACATCGACAGCAACAAAACCAACACCGGCAGCAGCAGAGACAACATCGGTAGCAGCAACAACAACTACGACACCAATCGCGGGTTCCTCAACGGCACCAGCTCTCGTCGACGATACTCCACCGACTCCTGCACAGCAGTTGACTCCCACTCCACGAGAAATCCACAGAAGCGCCAACTTCACCACCGGCTTCTATTCCAACTCCGACCTATAAAGGCGCTCACCAGGACACCGTGCGAGCGAATCACTGTGGCACGAAAGATTGGGTCACCCAAGCAACACAACGTTAAACAACACGATCAGTGCAAGAGTACTCGACAAAGACTCCCTACTTCTAACCGGCGACAGAGAACTTCAACGAGTCCGAGGTACATGTTTTACCTGCCCCGAAGCCGACCTACCTCATCAACCGTTTGTCTCTCACCACAATCCAAGTGCGCCAGTTTACGCACCATTGGAGAAAGTCTACAGCGACATCTTGTATGACCGCGAACACGGACAGGGAGCATACAACTACGTCATCACCTTTATCGGCGCCGCTACCCGATACGTCTGGCATCTCAACCTTCCAAGTCGTGACATGGCCTTCAAAGCCTTCGTCGCCTGGCTACTTGTGGCAGAACGAGAATCAGGAGTGAAGTTGAAAAGCTTCCAGTCAGACGGGGGGAGGCGAATATCAGTCACAAGGATTCAAGCAATACCTAGCAGAATGAGGCATCAAGCAACTCATCTCGCTTCCCTACGCCCATCAACAGCAAGGCGTGGCAGAACGGATGAACAGAACCCTCCAGAACACCATGCGCAAACTGCTACGCGGCATGCGACTGCCCAACCACCAGTGGCCCGAGGCGATGGACCACGCTGTCATGCTGCACAACTTGCTTTCGTCATCCTCGCTCCCGAACAACGCATCACCGCACCTGTTGTGGAGAGGAAAACTAGGCAACACAAAAATGTTACGAGTTTTTTGGTGCATGGTACAGTACCGACCGCACACTACAAGGGCCGGAAGATTTTCACAACGCGCACAGTGGTGACTACACCTTGGCATCGAAAAACACTACAACGCATGGAAGATTTTCGACGTCCGCTCGAAGGAAACAGTAGCATCACGTGATGTCATTTTCTACGAGTGACTCACACTTCAAACGTACCTGGACCACCTGGCAGCAGATCGAGACCTCACAGGCGGCTTCCGTGGCAACCGAGCCTTCGCCACACCAGCTGACGATGCTGACTGGGATGAGCAAAACGTGGACGGCACATCCGAGGAAGCAGGACTACTTCCATACTGCTCCGTGCCCATCCCGATGGATGACGAAAACCCTCGCGAAAGTGTCAATGCTGAAGTCTACTACGACTTCGCCGACACTGGTTACGTCACACCCCAATCAGTCAACACAAATGTATCAGATAGAATCGGCCCCAACTTTCTACCCGATCCAGAAGCGGGAGACGAATCAGTCTATCTCGAGGACGCAACTCTTCCCCGCTACACACAGAGTGGACTGCAGATACTGGGACTCGTAACCGCTATCCACGGAGCGGCACCACCTAAGGAGCCTGTCACTATTCAGCAGGCTCTGGGGGGGGAACATAGGGAAAAATGGCGCGAAGCCATGGACAGAGAATTAAAGGCACTGCAAGAACGCAACACCTGGAAAGTCATGCCTATCGGAGTGGCACGCAACAAGACCATTCTCATGGGAAAATGGGTTTTCCGTGTGAAAACGAAAGCTGACGCAACGATAGACAAATTCAAGGCACGCTGGGTCGTGCGCGGCTTCGACCAAGAGCACGGACGAGACTTCACCGAAACGTTTGCACCAGTTAGCCGACACACCTCACTGCGGATTCTCCTCGCGATAGTCGCCATGAAGCGGAAGAAGCTCCGCCAAATCGACGTCGCCAACGCCTTTCTGTATGCTCCCGTCGACGCTGAGATTTTTGTCGAACAACCACACGGATCTAACGCAGACCCCAATCAAGTCTGTCAGCTGGAAAAATCACTGTTCGGCATCAAGCAATCCCCAAGACTGTGGCAGCAGTACCTTCACGCCCGACTAATCCGCATCGGATTCTGTTAACTACCGCACGACCAAGGGATGTATCGTCTCACGAAGGGTACCGACTACATCTTACTCATAGTCTATGTGGACGACTTGCTTTACATCGGCTCTACCGACGACGTCACGACCTGGTTCGAAGGGGAACTACAGCGGGACCTCACACTCACCGTCTCGTCTACCGTGACACAATACCTAGGACTCAGCATATAAGACGGGGAAAATGCAATCTACCTCAGCGCCGCGAAATACTCCGACACCATCGCCAAACGCTTCGGGCTAACTCCAGCTACCATCACCACGCCATATCGTTACACCGACGGAAATCGCAAGGAAGCCTCCGCCCTACTCAAACCCGCCGGCATTCGCGACTACCAACGAAAGCTAGGCTGTCTACTCTTCGCAGCCATTACCTGCCAACCAGATCTATCTTACTCAGCTAGTCAACTCGCCACCCATCTCAAGAAACCTGAAGCAGATCACATGGCGGAGCTCGACCGTGCACTTCACTACCTCGTCAGCACTCCGACGATCGGCCTAACCTACCACAAGACTGGAACTACGACGCCCAAGCTAATCGGTTATATGGATGCTGACCACGCCGGCGACCCAGACAACAAGCGATCGCGTACCGGCTACATCTACCGACTCGAACCTATCGGCCCTATCTCATGGCAGTCGAGCAAGCAAGAGCTAATTGCTCTCTCCTCAGCTGAAGCAGAATATATTGCACTCTGCTCAGCCACCAGGGAAGGATTGTACCTTCGCGAACTACTGGAAGAAGCAAATCTGGCTAAGTTACCCAGCTTCTCCCTGTTCTGCGACAACCAATCGGCCATTCGCATAGCGAACAAGAACGGGTTCGCGAATCGAACGAAGCACATCGCCCTCCGGTACTTCTTCGTAAAAGACGAAATCGAGAAGGGGAGACTTGAGTTATCCTACTGTCCCACATCCGAGATGGCAGCCGATTACTTGACCAAGAAGCTCGGAAAGCAGAAGTTTGAGTATTGCATGCTGCTGACTGGACAAGGCCACGTCATCAGCAGCGACACTCCAGAAGCGAAGGGGAGTGTTGGAAACAAGCAATTTAACGCTTCTGAAGTATCGAAGTAATAACACGAACGAAGCAGACTACAGTGAAGCAACACACGAGTCAACAAACGTAACAGCTGGAGGTTACGCGAAGGTCAAAGGTCAGCGACCTTTGACTCGACGAAATACAGCGCGACAACAAGGACAAACAACTGACTCGGTATTGAGCAGTTGCCCGAGTCATCACTGTATCGAACCGCAACAGCAAAACAGTTAGTTGCACCTCTACGTATTCCTTGTAATCATATATATATATTCTTGTATCTCTTTGTTTTAGTCAATTCATCTTGCTCTCACACACTAGTGCAAGGTGGTTCGACAATATTACTATACGCTTCCGCAATTACAACATCTCTACCCAAGGTCTTAGCCTTGAAAAGATCCTAAGGGCTTTTCCTCAGCCCAACACTCCCCTCATGACCTGATGCATTCATCATTCCTTCGTATTCTAACAGGTTTGCCAGTCTCGAGTTATGGTACCAAACGTGTGAAAAAAATCTGAAATAGTTACCGTACGCGTTATAGAGCCCCATATAAGTTACCATTTGCATATTTTCCCTTGGAATTAATGTACAGTACTGAAAACATATGCGACAGTAACATCCTTTAAACCGGTTCAGTTGGTCTAAAGTTCTCATCATTTTCCTGACACTGTTTAATACATGTACCGTATTACCCCGGATATAAGCGCACCTGCGCTTATAATAAAACAGTGTTTTTTTGGGGGGTGCGCTTATAATTGAGTAAAAATTATAAGCGCATGCGCTTATAATATAACAAATACAAATATATATTTCAATCCACCAAATTGTACATCTCATCCTTCAGATTTCAATCGAATCGAAATTGTAGAAAGTCACATGTCAAAATCGCGCGCGGGCGATTCTTCGCGAGCGCCCAGAGGCAAAATACAGTGTAACACCTCACTTTGAGGGCGTGCCAGCTCGTGCTGACTGGACGCGCAGGATGTGAGAGGTCTTCGAAAGTCAATGTAAGCGAAAATGGGTTGTGGCCTCGCTGCAAAACTGAGATTCGTTACCGTTTTAATGAAGAATTATAAATAAAATTACACATGCGCTTATAATATATCAGGGTTTTATAATGGGTGCTCTTATAATTGAGGATCGGCCATAAGCGCATTGCTCCAGATACAAGCGCATGCGCTTTTAATAGGCCTGCGCTTATATCCGGGGCCATACGGTATTGTGACATATTGGACTCTTTGAAAATTGCCATTACCATGATTGAACCACTTGGCCTATCTTTATCTCAAAGTTTGTTTTACGCCCAAACACCACCCCTCTACACCATAAAGTAACCTAGTTTGACGCAAATAAGGTGTTCAACCTTTCTCAATGGACTTTTTCACTGTCCACCCTGGCTTTACCACACCCTTGCGCCCACAGAACACTACCTAGTACCTACCATCCTCACTATCAGATTTATGAGACAAGACGTGTACATGCCTTTATTTCGATCATCAACACTATCACTTCTGGTCGATACACTATGCTCCTCAAAATCCTCCTGGTCACAGGCAGGTTTGTCAAAATTGGCACAAAACACTCCTTTCTCCTCAAACCTTAGCATCTCCCTCCCCCACCCCTCCTCTTCTTCCTGACCTTCGTCACTCTCCTTTGCCATTGTGACTCCTGCTCATCTATCCTCCTCATCCTGTACTCTTACTTTTACTCTTATTCCACTCCCATTAGTTTCTTCTCCCTCTTTCACCTCCTCGTTTCCACCACTTCCCTCCTCGTCCTCCACTGACCTCTTCTTTCTCGGCACTGCTGCTTCCGTCCTAACATCCTCCTCCTCATTCGCCTCCTCTTCTCCCTCCCCCTCCCATTTCCCACTCTCCCCATTCCCCTCCCCGTCCCGTTCCCCACTCTCCTCCTCCTCCTCCCCCCCTTCCCGTTCCCCACTCTCCTCCTCCTTCCCCTCCCGTTTCCCACTCTCCCTCTCCTCCTCCCCCTCCCCCTCCCGTTCCCCACTCTCCCCCTCCTTCCCTCCCGTTCCCCACTCTCTCCCGCCCCCACCCCCTCCCGTTCCCCACTCTTCCCCTCCTCCTCCTCCTCCTCCTCCTCCTCCTCCTCCTCCTCCTCCTCCTCCTCCTCCTCCTCCTCCTCCTCCTCCTTCCCCTCTCGCCCCCCACTCTCCCCCTCCTCCCCCCCCCCCTTCTCCCACTCTCCCCCTCCCCCTCATCCCTCTCTGCTAGTTCCGCCAGTCTCAGCAGCAGCTGCTGCTCTTCCGGAGGTAAAGCTGGAAAAAGGGAGAAAACGTTTCCAAAGGGGACAGTACAAGGGAATGGAAGGAGAGTGTGGGTTTTTTTTTTTTTTTTTTGAAGGCACAGGAGAAGGGAAGGGAGGGAGGGGGTATTGGGATAATTTGTGTCATGGACAAGAAAGGCGAGTCAGTTTGGGTTTTGCAAAAGGAAATTGAGTGCTGACTGGTGGGGATTAGAATTTGACATTGTAAGGCGGGAGTAGTTAAAACTTAGAAGCACATCAGTTGGTTGGGTGGAGACGAAATAAAGTTTGAGATGCTGGAGTTCTTGAAACGGACTCGGAAAAACACAGCAGCTGGCATTGCATGAAAGGTTGTGTAGCTGCACCATGGGATAGGGCGTTATGTGGCATGACATAATGGCATGGTATAATGGCATGGCATAACATGGCATGGCATAAAAATGACCACTCACCATGGATGGGGTTTGGGACCTGATCAATGCCCACAGGCATGGTGTGCCATGCCATGCATATCCCATTACCCATGCCATCCATACGCCATGCACGCATGGCATGCCACACCATGCAACCATGCCAAAAGCAGCAGAAAAAGAACACAGAAGTTGGTCTCAAAAAGGGCCATGGCTACCAGAAGGAATGAGCAACCACCATGAAATTGCATATTCCATTCTGTGTGAATTATCATTGAATTTAAGGGAGCACAAGAGCGCCATGAAAAAGAGACAGGAATCCCCAAGAACAGTTGATTTACATCTTTTTGAATTCAAAAAAAATACACAAATCGGAATTACAGCAGCCAGCATGAGCAAAAAAATGTCACGTCACCACACAATGCCACGTCACATCACCTGTATTTCATCCTTAAATGTCATGCTGCCTCCTGAAATGTCGACATAAATGCGCGGAACAACGGGTGGGACTGCAAAAATGCGATTACAAGCAAGGTGGATACGTTAGTGAAGTGAATATGATGAATGGTACAAGGAGTAATAAATGTGGAAAACATTAACAAAATTAATCAACCCTTACCTCTCAATCACTCACACACTCACGTCCTCCATCCCATGCCCTGATTTTCTAAACCCTTGCCCCGTACTTAGCCATTCATTCTCAGAACTGCATGTTTCGTTCTTTTTCTTTTTCTTTTTACATGCTGATCACCCTAAAGATTTCACAGTATTCCCCAGCTCTTAGCTCTTGTTTTCTCCGCATAGTATTACCCCAGCTCTCGGCTCACCATAGGCATTTTCTCTTCGCACTCGCTCCACCTTAAGCATCTGAAACAACAATGCTCACTTGCACGCATGTACATATGCATGCACACACATACATACATATGCATGCACACACATACATACATATGCATGCACACACATACATACATATGCATGCACACATGCATGTGCAAACACGAATACATGCAGACATGCACACACAAACACATATGCACACGAATGGACATATTTTCAGATCTTACAGACAAGCACACATAGCAAAACAGGCCTGAACTTGAAATCCCATTTATAAGGCGACTAACGAATCAATCAAAAGCCACCTCTGTGCCTACCTGCTCATGGATTGGCATTTCACAAGCCTATCTTGACAACTCCCACCGTCCATCCCTCCTCCCCACCCACTCCTCCCATTGCTCATCCCCATCCGTCACCCCCTCCCATCCCTCCTCCCCAACCTTGCCTCACATCAGTCTCAGGTGTAAAGCTCCCCAGGCCTCGCAGCAGAGGGGAGGGCTCTAGAGGAGGGAGGGTAAATCAGCCTTCTCTCCCCGTCCTCCCACTCTCCCCTCATCTCTCGTCCCCTCGCATCTCCCCAGGCACCCTCCCCCTCCCATGCCTCACATCAGCCCCGGGTGCAAAGCTCCCCAGGCCCCGCAGCAGCACAGGGAGGGCCACAAAAGCGGTGAACTGGTCCCTCCCCATCCCCCTCCCTTTCGTCATTTCTGGCCACCCCCCCTTCCGTCCCATGCCTCCCATCCCTCCCCCTCCCATGCCTCCCATCAGCCTCGGGTGCAAAGCTCCCCAGGCCTCGCAGCAGCAGAGGGGAGGGCTCCAGAGGGGGATGGATCCCACTTCCCCCCTCATCCTCTCCTCATCCCCCCTTATCCCTCATCCCCTCCCATCCCTCCCATCCCGCCCTCACTCCCTCCCCCCACTTTCCCCTCCCATGCCTCACATCAGTTTCGGGTGCAAAGCTCCCCAGGCCTCGCAGCAAAGGTGAGGGCTCCAGGGAGGGGTGAACCAGAAGAGGGTCGGCTGTGAATGAGGGGAGGGGAGAGCGGGTGGAAGGGCGAGAGGAGTGAGATGAATCAGCAGAGGGGAGGGCTCTAGAGGGAAGTGGACCAGCAGAGGTTCGGCTGTGAGGGGAGGGGAGAGGAAAGGAAAGTTAGGGTTTGAAAGAGAGGAGGGAAATGGAGGCACTGGATATTGGGCGGACACACATGAACTGCAGAGGGTCGACTGGATATTGACCGCACCTGCGCGCCAAGAGCCCGAGATTCCGCCGTCTCCCCCTGTCCGCCACATCAGCGCAACGCCCAGCAGCACCAGCAGCGCGCATGCGCATCCCAGGGCTGTGCGCGCCACTGCAATCCGCCTCCGCCGCTTCCTTCCGCCACCCGTTCCTCTTCCGCTGCGCGTTCCCCTTCCGCCGCTCGCGCCCCTTACCGCGGGCGCTTCGCCATTTTCCGCCGCTAACAGTTCAGCGCGGCCCCCTCTTCCCCCTCCGCATCCCCCCACTTTCCCCGCCTGTGGACATTCCGCTCCGTGCCCCGGCGCCGCTGGCCCTTCTACTGGTCTCGCCACTTGCAGCTCTTCTCCGCGCGGCCCCCCGATTTCCGCCGAAGGTTCCGCCGCATCTCTCGCTCGGACGTGCGCGGAGGAATGTGATTGGTGCAGAGGCGGTTTCTCAGGGTCGTCGTAAGCAATGGGACTCATGCGCGCGGCGAAGAAAGGAGTTTGGCATTTCTGTAGGTCCCAGAGCGACGTGGGCGATGTTTACCAACTCTGCGCGGAGAGATACAAACCTGACTGCAATTTCGCTAACCAGTGCGATTCGTTAAACATATAGTGTTGTGCCGTTGACTATCTTAACCATAACAAAAAGGGGAGGGCCGAGGTTTGGGTGGAGGTTCGTATCCGCGCCACATTTGTTTTCGATACTGCATACTTAAAAGCAGTAACAGAAATACGATTCTATTATGAATCTTCAAGTCAAAGTTCACCCATAACGGCCCGTTAGGCCATGCTGGCGCTGTTTTCGTTTGGGTCAGCTGCTTATAAAAAAGGGAACGGCATTTACCTCCGCGGTAACACACATTGGGCTCGATCGCACCCGAGGTAATCCACGTGTCCAGATCGTAACAAAGATACCCTCTCTTCGCCACCGTGGTAACCATCATGCCTAGATGGTCAACATTATTGTCAGAGGTCCACTGGTGATCTCCGATTGATCCTAGGGAAGGGTTACAGGCATGTTGGCCTGGGGAGTTATGGGCGCACTGACCCGCTACTTAACAAGCCCTTTTATCCCAATGGTCTAGTGGTTGGGATTCTGACATGGTATCAGAGCGAAGGTCTCGGGTTAGAATCCCAGTGTGTGCACTTCGGGCATCCTAGTGCGGGGGGGTGTCAGAGGTCCACTGGTGATCCCCGATTGATCCTAGGGAAGGGTTACACGCATGTTGGCCTGGGGGGTTATGGGCGCACTGACCCGCTACTTAACAAGCCCTTTTATCCCAATGGTCTAGTGGTTGGGATTCTGACAATTATTGCCCGAATGGTAATGAACAGTGCATCCGGTAATCCTGGCTGGTAACTTCGCGTACTAACCAAACTGTACATGTCAGAAGAATGAACGAGAATGAATGCATTTAACAGAAAATGGGTACAAGTACTAACCCTAATTGGGTTGTACCCTTTATGGGCTACCCCACTATAGCCTACACCAAGTAAGCAATATAACATTTTGACACACCCCCATAGGCAAAGTGAGGGAGAACAAGTGGTCACAAGACCAGTCAAGAAAAGCAAAAACAAGCTCAGGGTGGATCACGAAGCCACCACACATTCCGAGCACAAGTATAGGCCACAAGGCGAGTTCACATGCAGAGTTATATAAGAGAGAACAAACACTACACTGATCATACCCTAGCAAGTGTAAGCATGCAGGTATATATATAAATCACCGTACAAGCAAAGTCACGGAGTGAGCAAGTGAGGCAAAGTAGGCACAAGGCCTAAAACAGTACAGAAACGCTGATGATCACCAGACTGAAGTGCCTTGGTGAATATATCAGCAGTGTTGGCCCGAGTAGCCACGTACGCAAGACGAAGCTGACCACGCTGCTGCAACTCTCGAGCAAGGAAGTAACATAGAGCGATGTGCTTCGTTCTGTGCTCCAGTCTGTGCTCCTGACACAAGGCAATTATGGCCTTGTTGTCTACGTACAGAACTGGAGAAGAACGAGGCCGCTCTCCCAAGTCGGTCAGCAGGTAGGTGAGCCAGCGTAACTCCTGTGCAGCCATGGCCCCTGCGTAGATCTCAGCCTCAGAACTGGAACTGAGAAAAGAAGACGAGCGGGTAGACCGCCAAGATATAGAATCAGAGCCAAGGCAGAAAGTGTAACCCTGAGACGACCGCTGCGTAGCCAAGTCGTCAACCCAAGAAGTGTCTGCATGTCCTGTCAGGACAACTTGACCCCGTCCTCCAAGCACGAGCCCCATGCCTGACGTACTGCACAAGTAGCGCAACACCCTCTTAGCGGCCTCCTAGTGCTCTAGTCGGTGTCTCCCGGGCGCAGCGTAGCATGCCAGGATGCTAAGAGGGTAGGCAAGGTAAGGTCGAGTGCAGGTCATCAGGTACATGAGAAAGCCCACAAGCTCTAGATACGGGCCACTTGGCTCTACGGACTCGTCCGAAGGTGGAGCTGAGAGCGAGTGACCAGTAGGCAGAGGTGTGGACAGTGGCGAGGAGTACCGGAAGCCGAAGCGCTGAAGGACCTGGTGCACCATGTGTGACTAAGTCAGGGTGATGGTGCGCCGTGCTCTGTCCCGGGTGATCTGCAAGCCAAGATAGCTGCGCAGCTCACACAGGTCAGTGCAGGTGTGTCTCTTGTGCAGCTTCGGCTTCACAAGGGCCAGTGCCTCAGTGTCAGTAGTGGCAAAGACCAAGTCGTCGACGTACACGAGGACGTAGAATGGCGGCAGCGAAGTGTCGGTACGTAGAAACAGAGACGGGTCAGCAGTAGAAGGAGCAAACCCAATAGCCGTAAGAGTCGTCCTCAGTGTGTCGTGCCACTCGCGAGGCGCCTGGCGGAGACGGTAGACTGGCCGCCAGAGGCTCCACTGGGTACCTGCAGTAAACAACCCAGTGAAGCCAGGTGGGCGGCGCAGTCAGATCTCCTCGTGCAGGCTGCCCTGCAAGAAAGCAGTGCTGAAGTCAAGAGAGTGAAGCTCGTAGTCACGCTGAGCAGGGACGTGCAGCAGTACCCGAAGAGTAGTCATCTTCAGGGTAGGGGAGAAGGTCTGGAAGAAGTCAACTCCCTGTCGCTAACTGAAGCCTCGTGCAACGTAACGAGCCTTGAAGGCAGGCGGAGAACCCGACGGCCGTTTCACCCTGAAAATCCACATGCCATCGACTATGTTCGCCCCAGGAGGGGGAAATGCGTTGACGTAAGTGCCTGTCGACTTCCAGGATGCCATCTCTGCGTCCATGGTTGTCTGCCTCTGAGAGGAGTAGGGACCCGTAATCGCCTCTGCGTAAGAGTGCGGGGTCGGGATGTCTGGTGCATCCGGGTCTCCCCCAGGGGCAATCAGCATGGACACGAGATGAGGTACAGCAGCTGCAAAACACTCAAAGTCCTCCTGCCTGTCCTCAAGGACGTCCGTGCCAAGAGCACACTCACCCCCGACGGACGGAGGACAGTCAGACTCAGACTTTGCAACAAGACTAGCGACGTAGTCGAGACGACAGGCGGCAGCAAAGTCAACAGGCTCAGCAATTAGGGCAGACATAGCAGCAGACTCAAACGAAGGGTCAGTGACAACAGTGGCTAGAAGATGAGGGACAGTAAGACTGGCAGCACAAACTAAGTCAGACTCAAGGTCCGGACCGTCAGTAAGAGAGGACGGAGGAGGAGACGGAAGGGGGACACGCTGCGGAACAGAGGAAGGACGAAGTGCCATATGGTGCGTGCTGGGGGCAGGAGGAGGACGCTGACGAGGAACACGACAACCAGTGCGAACAGCGCGAACAGGCGAGGCAGGACGAGACACAGGCTCACGACGCTCTGTAAGACCTCCGGTTTGCTCAGTGTAAGGAGAAGGAGTAGGCAGTGGGGAGGCTGGCTATAATGGCGGCTGCGACTGGTCAGGCGGTGGATACAGTGAGGGAGGAGTAAGGCCAGTAGAAGACGGGAGACCAAGAACCTGCTGAAGCAGGGGAACGAAGTACGGTCACGGCCATCCAGTGTCTCCAGCTCCAACACCAACAACACCAGCACCCCCAGGGCCAGCGCCTCCAGCTCCGGTGTCTCCAGCTCCAGGGTCCCCAGCTCCAACGCCTGCAGCGCCAGTACCGCCAGACGCAGCACCTCCAGCGCCAGCACCTCCAGCTCCAGGGTCAACAGCTCCAGCGCCTCCAGCGCCAGGGTCTCCAGCTCCAGCTCCTCTAGCTCCAGCGCCTCCAGCGCCGGGGTCTCTAGCTCCAGCTCCTCCAGCTCCAACTCCTCCAGCTCCACCAGCCCGAGCAACTCAAGTACCCCTAGTACGAGCACCTCCAGGACCAGCATCTCCAGCACCTCCGGGACCTCCAGCTCCAGTAAGAACTCCAGCACCTCAAAGACTAGTAGGTCCAGTACCTCCAGCTCCAGTGCCTCCAGCCGCAGAGTCTCCAGCTCCGGCAGCTCCACTCCGAAGGCGTGTGCGCCGAGCAAACCACTCGTGCAGCTGGTGCGGGGAGAGAGGCTCCGGCCAGGGAGACAGTCGTGGTGAAGCACCCGCAGGACCTCCAAAAGAAGCTGTACCCCTCGGCTCAGCACCCCCAGACTCCACACCCTCAGGCTCAGCACCCCCAGGCTCCACACCCAAAGGCTCAGCACCCCCAGGCTCCGCACCCCCAGGCTCAGCACCCCCAGACCCATCACCCTCAGACTCAGCACCCCCAGGCTCCGCACCCCCAGATGCAGCACCCCCAGACATAGAACCTCGAGCAGCACCTTAGTCGACAGCTACCTCAACAGGCACAATACCAGGGAGAGGGTCTACCTTAGACACACCTGAGGGAGGAGGACCCTGGGCGGGGAGGGGGTCTACTGGAGGGGGACCTGGAGCAAGGAAGAGCGGCAGGGGTGGGGGAGGAGCAGAGCAGTAGTGGAAGAGACGATAAAAGGGAACCGACTCATCAAACGAAACGTCCTGAGAGGGGAAGACACGGCGCTAGGTGGGGTGGTAAAACTGCCAGCCAGGCGCGTCATGGGAAAAGCCAAGGAAGACGCTGGGAATAGTGCGGGCGGAAAGCTTGTCCGCGGACGTATCGCGAACAAAGGCACGAGAACCCCGGACCCGGAACACCGACGCATCGCCAACCTTCCCCGTCCAACGCAGTGTAGGCGAGGTCTCCGGCAAGGAGACACGGGGCCAGAGGTTGAGCAGATGCGCAGCGTACCGGACCGCAAACGGCCAAAGAAAATGGGGAGCAGCCGCATGGATCATGGAGGTACGAGCGACCTCCATGACTAAGCCAATGCGGCGCTCAGCAATCCCATTTTGCTGAGGGGAGTCCGGAAGCGTGAACGACTGGAGAATGCCCTCCTCATGACAAAAGTCCCGCAAGAGGTCGGAGGAGAACTCACCACCTCTGTCAGAGTGCAGACGTAGGACAGGAAGGTCCTGGGGGAACCGCTCGCGGAGCTGGAGACGGACTGCGCGGATCCAAG